ATCTCTCTCTATTCAATGAAGCGTCTCTGATTGATAATCCATTGAATCAACTCACACTGAAACATTCATTTTCTTTCCTTTTCTTACTCTCCAGTATATATAAACTTTAATGTAGTAGCATCTAATATTTAATTTTGCTGGAATTGATTCTACTTCATGCATTATTGAAAGAATCCCATTCGCTAATAGGAATGGATTCTACTTCATGCATTATTGAAAGGATTCCATTTGTTTTTCCTCTGTTTTCCTACATCTGAGGCTAAAAGGGTCAGCTAATACAAGCTAGAGTTGCGAATAATTTTTGTTATGCCTTGTGCTTATTAACTCCAAGATGCATTTACATGTGGAAAAATGGAAGACACGTGGAGGCTCCTCTTTTCATAGAGAATGGAAAATCTTTAGAGTTGCACACAAAATGAAAACGGTAGAAAAATGAATAAAGAATGGTATTGAGTTTGAGCTAAAATTATCAAAATGCAAATTTTAAAGAATTTAACTAATGCGAATTATGTGATTATTGTTTTCAGTAACTATTTCTCACTCTCAAATACAGAAAATATATATATATATAAAAATAGAAACAATTTTTAAAATATCTTAGAAAACTAGTTTTAAAATTTGCAAGGGGAAGTGTTGAAGTGAATTTTATTACATTAACTTCAGTAGGAGTAGGATGGCAACGAGGCCATTTTGGGCGGGTGTGCCCTCCCCCTCTCTTGCTCCTATCTCTGTTTAAGTTACCCCACCCTACCCTTACTCAAAACTAGACCTGTCAATGGAACGGATCCTGATTCTGATCCGGATCCGATCCGAATCCGATCCGATTAGTCGGATATGGATTAAACAAAAAATCCGATAACCTGGTTACGATCCGAATCCGATAATCCGTTAACTTAACAAATCGGATATGGATTATGCTGATCTGATCCGATCCGATTGAAATTGTATATATAAATAATTATATATATAATTATTTATCAATAATTTTAAATATATATATATATATCAATACTCCTATTAGAATTGTATTAGAGGTAACCCAAAAATTCAAAATAATAATAATAATAATAATAATAATAATAATAATAATAATGTTATATATAAATATTGTGGTGTTCTCATCCATATGCGAATAAATCTCTTAGTATACATACTAATAAAATCATACTCTTTATAATTATATATGTTAGTAAATATTATTTTAATCCGATTTCGAATCCGATCCGATCCGATCCGAGTCCGAACTAAATAGGATATGGATTGGGACACTCAGTCCGAGAACCCGTTAGTGATCCGAATCCGATAATCCGTTTGCTTAACAAATTGGATATGGATTTGATCGATCCGATCTGAATCCGATCCATTGACAGGTCTACTCAAAACCGACTAAACGTGGTACTCTTTTACCCCGTTCCTACCACGTTTAAGATTTTTCACCCCTACGCCCTGCGGGCACCCTTCCCACCCCGTTTACTTCCAAACTCTCACCATTTGTTTCTTTAATTTCTGCACTCAAATCTAGCAAAACCAAACCAATGAAGGAAGATACGGTGAAATTAGGATTTAGGATCGTTCAGATTAGGATTTAGGATCATTTAGATTAGGATTTAGGGTTCTTTTAACTTAAATGTCCACACACACACACATATATATAAGGATAAATTAATAAAAGGAAATATAAACAGGCCGGGGCAGGGTTTTTACTAATAAAAACCATCCCCGCCCAATTAAGTTAAACGGTTCTAAAAAATCGTTATAAACGAAGCAAATTCTTCCTTAAACTTTGGCCTAAATTATTCGTCTTTAAACTATGCCCACTCTTCTTATTCTCTGTTTTTTTTTTTTTTTCTTTTTTCCTTAATATATAATTCTTTTCTTTAAAAATAATTTTAAAAGCGAAGTGTTAAAGTAACACTATTAATTGATTTACACTTTGGCCTAAATAGCACTACTTCTTTTTTTTTTTTTTTTTTTTTTTCTCTTCTTCTTATTTTTCCCTCAAAATTCTCAAGAACTCCATAACTTATTTTATAGGGAAAATTATATTTTAGTGACCAAAATTAAACATAATTGCTCTATAATGACCTTAAAGTCAAAAAAAGGTGAATAGTGACCAATGTTGAAACTTGATTGATTTAAGTGACCATTTGATGGTTTATTACCTAAATAGCCTTCTTATAATATATTATTATGTAAGTGGACAAATTTACCCTCTACATTTGTTGGGATTTATATGCCCTAGCATAACAAATTCCTGTTTGGATAAAAGTGACATATGTTCCTGACGTTTCTGAAATATTTATGTTTTATACAATTGGTGAATTCAATGTATTATATTTCGATTCATTATAGAATTGATAGTGTCCATTTGATTACAAGAGATATTTATATATATGTATGTGATGGCAATCAATGCATGATATATAAATAGTAATCATAAGTAGTTCATAGTCGGTAATTATGGATTGACTCATAATTAATTAAGATTTGAACTGGATCCGCGTTAGGTTGAGATATATTGCGAGAGTCATCGTATGCAATTGCTCCCTATCACCGTCATGGCATTTGACTCTTAAGCATGAGAAAATTATAGACTCTTTTATTAATTAATAATTACTTTGATTTGTTCGGCGGATTCTTCGGGATCCTTAGACCGACACTTTCGGTAGTTATGTAATTAATAGTTAGAGGGTTATATTTTCAATATTTGCACCATTGCTACTTGTATTTATTTTGTATTGATTATGGTTGATCACAAAGTAAATTCGAAGGCCTTCGTGTGTTTTTAGACAAAATGATTTATTATATATTTATTTATTTAAATTATTATTGTTGTCAAACAAATGTTTTATTGTGATCGAGCCAGAAATAGTCAATGGTACCAAAATAAATATATTAATTAAGTAGTCGAATTGATGGCTTTATTTATCCGATAACTAATTATGCATAGAGGGGTCAAAGTGCAACATTGACTTAGAGGTTATTTATTATTTAATTAGAGTTCAATTAATTTCTTTTAGTGGAGTAGAATTAATTTATGAATTAATTGAATTGGGTCCATGGACCGGCCCAATTATTAATTCATTGTAGCCAATAAAATAATAGGCCCAATGGATTTTCACTCATAGCCCAACTTGATATTGGAATCATATTAGATTTGAGACATATGAATTAGAGATTGAGAATGATTTGTTGTTTCCTTTTCTTTATCGTTATGTTGCCTATAAATATACGTGATCTAGGTATATTTTAGGGGTGATTTTTAGAAGAAGGAAAAATGAATTTATTTTCTCTCTCTAGAAAATTAGGGTTTATGTTCTCATCTAATGGAGGCTCCCATAAGCTTAGTTTTTTAAGGTCATTCATGGAGGCTTATGAGTGATTCCTAAAGGTAAAACAATTACCAAGAAGATGGAGATCCAAGGAGAAGGCATTTTGCTAAGGGATCTACAATAAGTGAGAACATTCACTTTAGAGGAAATATTTAAAGGTTTACTCAAACCTTTGATGTAAGTATTTAATCCATTAATTGAATGATATATCATATTTTTATTTTTGCATAAAACTTGTCTCTCTGTGATGAATCAAGATTTATGAATCAAAATCCTTCGAAATTTTTTTAAAACTTGCACGTTTCCCAACAACATTAACCTAAATAAACACTTACTTAAATTGATTAACAAAAAGACGATAGATTATTAAGGTGAGTCTCTGAAGAAAAGACCAAGATGAGAGAGAAGTAGAGAACTGAGGACGGATGTTTTTTATCTGTTTCTTCAAGGTTCTAAGAGACAGGACGAGAAAATTGTAAATTTTCTTCTTATTCATTATTTTCAAAGTATAATTATTATACTTTATAAGTTGATTTGTCTGAGAGATTTTCCTTAAGATATAAGATTGTAATTTTTAGAATTTTTTAAATATTACTTAGTTATAGTTTAAGAAATAATGACAATTGAGCTTTCATGTAAATTGAGCGTTCATAATTTTGCCAACAGTTAATGGGTGTTTCAAAACTCAAAAATATGATTTGCCACTATAAATGTTATGAGCGTTCATGGTGGAGAGCCTTGAAAAATAGATAAATGGTGGAAAATAGATAATGTTGATAAAGAAACGTTAATTTTTTTAAATTAGTAAATTAGAGAGTAAAAAGAAAAAAAGAAAATGTTGGATTAGAGAGAAAGAGAGTAGGAGGATAAATTCAATGACTTATTATTTATATTAGATGGCAATTTTAGTATCTAAAATTTATTTTTAAAATGTCTATCAAAACTTTAAGTGTTTTTGACCAAATTATCCTCAAATGGTCATTTAATATCAATTAAGTTTCAACATTTATTATTATTCACCTTTTCTTGACTCTAAGATCAAACAATTATATTTAATTTTAGTCACCAAAATATAATTTACTCTATTTTCGACTCTCTTCTAAGATACTATATAATCTCTCTACACTCAATGAAGCCTCTCTTATTGATAATCCATTGAATCAACTCACATTGAAACATTCATTTTCTTTCCTTTTTCTTACTGTCCATTACATATATTTTTTCAAAAATAAAAATTAAAAAATTGTAGTTGCTCATTATTTATACAAACACAATAAATATCTTCCCTTTTCTTTTGCTCCTACTTTTTCAAACACATCACAATAAAGTGTATTAAAAAAAAAAAAAAAAAAACAAATAATGATCATTTCCCAACACTTTTTATAACTTTTACACTTTTAAATGAAAAATAATACTGTATTTTTTGCCATTTTTTTTTTTTACAATGAAAAATAGATCACACTTCACAAAAATATATTGAAACTTTGGGATAAAAAAAATAACGAATTGACTTTCAAATTTTGAAATAACTCGCTCGACACTTTGACTACAACTTGACACAAAAAAATAATAAAAATAAATAATAATAATAATAATAATAATAAATTGATATTAACAGGCAGTTTATTCTAAAAATAAGAAGGACAAAGAAAAGAAAAGATAGCGTTATATATATATACACTTAAAATCGAAGGGTTTCAAAATCCAGAGGAGTTCATCATCATCGACTTAAACCTCATCCAAATCTTGAAAAAATGGATCCAATTCTTTCAGCTGCGGTGCTCTCGGTTCTTCTCGGAGCAGTGATCGCAATTATTCTGTTCGGGAACTACTTCCGCAATAGAAAATCAGAAGTTGAATCAATCGCACCACCAGAGGCTCTTCAACCCAATCATAAGCCTCCCAAACCCACCTCCAAGAAATCTCACTCCAAGCCTCACTCTCATGCCGCAGATAAGGTTCGCCCCCATTTCTCTTTCTATGTCTTGCTTATACACATTTCACACACATATATATATGTATACATGTATGCCTAAATGATTGTGAGATGCATGATTAGAACAATTGATTCAGCTGATTTTCTTTTTTCTCTGCGTTAGGGCAAATTTAGCTGATTTTTCTCTCTATATCTCACTCTCCTAAATTGCATTATTGAAAAAGTCTATGAAATTGCGAAGTGTATGACCTGAACAAGCTGTTCATGTCACCTCATTTCCTCTCTTTTTGAAATTCATTATTATTAGAACAATTGACGGACAAGATTGTCTCTCTCATTACTTACGTGTATGATCTGATCAAGGGCCTTTTTTTTATTATTTTTTTATTATTATTGTTCCATGTCTGCTCTCTTCCCCTGATTGTTTCTATTGTGAAATGTTCGATTAAAACAAAAAAAAAAAAAAAAAAAAAAGGGTTGTGTGTTCTGATTTTTTTAAATGTGGAATGTATGATTAGAATAAGTCTCTCAAATGCTTCTGTCAGTGGTTATCTCCGACAGTGGATAGTCTTTTTTGTGAAATGTATGATCAGACAAGATGTGTTGAGATGATTTCAGTGTATCTCTTAATGATTTTGATTTTGAAATGTAGGATGCAATCAAGAGACATCATCCATTGGATGTGAATACTTTGAAAGGTCATGGTGATTCTGTCACAGGGCTCTCTTTTTCCTCTGACGGACGTAATTTGGCAACTGGTAATGTTAATGTTTGCCTGGCTTGATATACACCATATTACACATTTGTATGTTCGACCTGTGCACTTTTTTGAGGTTCATTAGAGCAATTCAAATCATTTTCACTTGCACGTTCATTTGCATCAGAATGCAGGAAGATGTTCTGTTTGTGTTCTGCTTAGTCTTGACATTTTCTCTGTGCATACAGCTTGTAGTGATGGAGTGGTCAGAGTATTTAAGTTGGATGATGCTTCGAGTAAAAGCTTTAAGTATGAATCTCAAGCACCCTTGATCTTGCCATTTAACACCTCATTTATCAATGATGCACATCTATTTCCTCATTTCCTCTCAATTATATTTTTTTCCACAAATTTATGTAGGTTTCTGAGAATTAATTTACCTGCTGGATGTCATCCGACAGCAATTGCATTTTCTGATGACTCTCTAGTTGTGGCTACCCAAACTCTTTATGGTTCTTCTTTATATATGTATGGAGAAGGAAACCCCAAATCTGCTGACGAAACTAAGAAGCAACCCAAGCTTCCTCTCCCAGAAATCAAATGGGAACATCATAAAGTCCATGATAAAAAGGCTATTATCACCCTAGTTGGAACTAAGGCAACTTACGGCAGTGCTGATGGGAGTACAGTTATTGCCTCATGCTCGGAAGGTATTTCCTAATTTATCCAGTGGATTTACCTCCCTACGACTTCTAATTGTTGCTAGGATGGTTTTTTCTTTTGTTATCTATTTTCCTCAATAATTCCAATTGTTGCTAGGCTAGTTATCATGGTCAAGCATGTCATTGATCAAATTTGTATATTAAGTTGCTACCTTTTTCTTTTTCTTTATTAGAGAAATTGGTACTTGATACTGAATTCTCTTTTGCATTGCATGATATTCTCTCCCCTTAATTAACCAACTTTTCTGTTCTCGTTTTTATAATCCTGGGTTTAAATATTAAATTGTTGTGATTTAAAGATTGAATAAGCGGGCCTACCTAAATCCTAATGAATATTTATTATATCATGAAAATTTCTTCTGATTACCTTTTATTTTTCAGGGACTGATATCATAGTTTGGCATGGGAAAACTGGGAAAGTCTTGGGAAATGTTGACAGTAATCAGCTCAAAAACAACATGGCCACCATATCTCCAAATGGGCGTTTTATTGCTGCTGCAGCTTTTACCGCTGATGTGAAGGTGATTTCCTAATTCATGAGTTAAATGGCCAATTCGTGAGGATGTTAGAGAAGTTTTCCACGGCAATAGCATATCGAATGCAGAATCATTAGTGCTGCCATGTAACTTTGATGCACATTATTTTATATAATCTGGGAGTTCAAAACTTGGAAGGGAAAATAATGTGCAAATGGCAAGCAGGGTCCAAATACTTGAAGCTGGGGAATTAAAGAATCTTAGCTTCTTTAAAATTAAGATGTTTGTAGTGAGATATTTATTTCCTATATGAAAAGGGAAAATAAATTTTGATGAACATTTAGGTAATTTGTTAGCCTTTTCAACTAACAGATTGCCATTTTGCTTTGTGTCTAATCCAACAGGTGTGGGAGATTGTATACTCAAAAGATGCTTCAGTCAAGGAGGTTTCTAAAGTTATGCAGCTCAAGGGACATAAGGTTTGTTTTTCATTTTTTACATGCTTCTTCAATGTGTAAATGAAGATTGAATGATACTTCCAGCATATGTAAGTTATGAAGTAACTTATTAAAACTAAAGATGGTTTATGACATAGGGTGTGTGGCAATATCTCATAAGTTCTATAACTACTAGAATGACTTTTAAACTTTAAATGTGTTATTTTCACACTCCCTTGTTACCTACGTCATTAGCTACATCGCGTTTCATATAAAAAAAGATGCATGTTTGTGAGGAACCTAGACACTGTATCAGACAGCAGAAGTTTGAAAATGTATCAGACAGCAGAAGTTAGAAAATGGAATTGCACTCAATTAACTAATGATAATCAAATTGAAATGTTAACTCTCAGAATCCCGCTCATTTATATACATTCATCTACATCTGCTCAATATATAAGAAAAATAAAACTATATTTTTAACTGTTATGAAATTTTTTTGACCGTTTCCTTTGAATCTAAGTTTAATTATGTTCATGGCCTCTCCCATTTTCATTGAGGATTGTAAATTTCCACCTTTTCCCTAAATCCACCTTGTTGGGTTGCTATTGCATTTAAATGTCTCCACTATAGTTTGGATCAGATCTGGGTCATATTGTTGGTTACTAGCTCAGTAGTCAGTAAGAGGCAAACCCTGGTTTAGAATGTTAATTACAATCAACAAACATAAACGTAAGATTGAAACATGTGAGAGAGAGTGTTGCTGCACGAGATTTCTGAAACTCTGCAGTTGTATTTTAATGTATTTTTCCTTAGAATCCACTAGTTATGGATTTAAAATTTTGGTATATTTTAAAAGAATTTGCATGTTACTATTTCAATTGATTTTTTTTTTTTTAGTTCTTATTATAAAGTTACTTTGTTATTGACTGTTATCCTTTAAATAACTTTCTGGCCTAATTATTTTGATTTGCAGAGTGCTGTGACTTGGTTGTGCTTTGCTCCTAGTTCGGAACAAATAATTACAGCATCCAAGGATGGTTCAATAAGAATATGGAACATCAATGGTATGTATCATATTGAATTTTTGTTATGTACTTTTGCTAAACTCTCATGATGTCAGCTATACTATTGAAGCTCAAATTTAGCGGTATTTTGATTTATTTTGTTGTAAGGTGTTTGGTTTTCAGGGAGTCTGTCAATCAGATGGAAACAACTGAGAGAAATACTGTCTATTTAAAGCTAATATGCCCACACACTTAAAAAATACTTATTGTATTTCCTCCTTTTAGAAAGGAAAAAAAAAGTCAGCTGGGTCCAGGACAGACTTCTACTAGAATTCGAAATTGGATGCATGACTCTGAAATGCATTTGATTTTGTCTGTTTTGTAGCATTTTCCAGAGAAATCTTTGAATTTCCTGGTAAACAGCACTCTTAATCCACCCTTAAGTGAACCCAATTAAGCCTTTTGTGTAAGAAAACATGTAAACAATCTTCCATCTCCTTGCACATGGGACTTTTAAGATGTCATGTTTGCAAAGATGCACTTATATCTTCCTCGACCTTGCTTCGGATTCGACATCCTCCTGCGAACTGAAACCTCTTCTTGAATCTCATTTGCAGAATGAAAGGTTACCCCTTTATCTCTAATCTCAATACATTAAGGGAATTGGTTGGACGAATTGGAATTTGGTTAGAAGTTTGATGGCCAATAGCTATTCTAGGTGTAGACTTACATTTTTTATATTGATTTGGTTCGAAGGAATTTCTTGAATTAGCGTCTGACCAAATATAAAAAGCTATTCTGTAACCAATACATCCTCTAAAGAAGTTATTTCCTTTTCCTGCTTAACAACCTTGATTTAGTGGCTATGAGGAGATTTATGATGGGAGAGGTTATGATTGAAATGTATTGATGGAAAAAATGAGACTTGATGACATATAGTGGTCCTGACATTGCCCCAGAATATCTTATTGGTGTTTGATGAGTTTGAATTGGTGGGAACTGTAGAAAACATTTGTTCGCATACAAAAGACTTGCTCTGGGTGCCGCCGCATCCTTGGACTCTGTGGGACCTTCAGGGTTTTGAACTGATAGGAACCTTTGAAAGCCAGTTCTTTCCTTGATTCTATGATTAATGCCTCGAGGATCATCATCAACTGCAGCTCTGCAAGTCAAATTCATAATTTGGTCAACTATCAGTTCATTTGTGGTTACAAAGCTCCAACTTTTTATCTTCTTAATACAATTGTTCATCATCCTCATAGATGGTATTCTGTTTGTGATGGATTTTACCTTTCTTCATGCTTCTTCCTATGAAGCTGTGAATTTTTGTCCTGGCTCACTCTTATAGTGGTGGTTTACCATGCTAAAAAAAACTCCAAAACACACAAGCATCATTTACCACCACCACTCTCTTTGACTTGGGTGAAACAAGAATATTTGATTACTTCTTCTATAGCAGTTTGATGGTTGCATTTTTGGTAACCAAAGTAGGACTAACTACAAGGTAAAAACTTTGACATGTTAATACCACTGTCATCATCATCTTTGCCCAAATACCCTTTTACTATAGTCTTTTGTTAGCTGTTCAGACGCCATGAGGTCAAGAAACTTGCCACTATATTTTGGAAAACATCCTTTGAACCATTTCCAAGATGAAGAAGAACGATTTTCCAGACTATTCTCACGGACGTTTGAGGAAGATTTCAGTTTTCCCTGAATTTTCACTCCTCTCAAATTGCATCTGCATACGCTGCTGACATGTGTTTTCTAAGTTGGCACATGCTTGCATCATCACTCCTTTGTAGTTGCCTTCAATTGTTTAACATGCATTGTGCTTGCTTCTACTCAATATATGAAAATTTGTTTGAACTGCCACATGTAAGAACGAGATATGCAAATTTGTTTGAACTGCCTCACATAAAACCAGGGCGTGGAGTTCTATTCCATCATGAATCCTTTCTGATTGACTACAACTCTTAAAAACCTCATTAGCAGTTCCAAATGCTTTATTTATATCTTTGTCTATTCCTTTTTATTTGGTAGTTGCAGATCACTCAAATTTGGCCATTTAGTAATTTGTTTCGTAGGCAAACATAGCTAATCAACAAAAATGCAAAGGTTATAACTTATAATAGTTATAGAAAACAAGATTTTCTTGGATATTGGTAATTTTGTTGTAAAAAGGATCTTTAAATCTGCCTAAAGTTGTTCATCTGCACAGTCCTTGTCACTAAGAGTCTCAATTGTTTATTTTCCTCTTTTTATTGTAATAGTAATTGCTTAATTTCATTTATGTTGACCCTCTTTATTTGTTCTTTGAAGTTCGATACCATCTTGATGAGGACCCCAAAACTTTAAAGGTGTTCCCTATTCCACTTCATGATTCAAGTGGCATTACTTTGCAATATGATCGTCTCAGTCTTTCACCTGATGGAAGGATATTGGCAGCCACTCATGGTTCAACATTACAGTGGTTAAGTGCTGAAACTGGGCAGGTTTTGGACACAGCTGAGAAAGCACATGACGGTATGCCCAATTTTACTTTATTTTATTCCAATCAGCATTTTCATGCTGTGTAAAATGATGTAAAATTAATCATGAACATGTAAAGCTTCCTGTCTTGCTCTCTTTGTTTATGCTTCTGCACATAAGTCTACAAAAACTGTTAATGACCTCAAAAGAAGGAATGATTTGCAATTCTCCACATGAACTTTTCTTACTTTCAAGTTATTGAATTGGAAATGATAAATTTGTAGGCAGTAGGTATATCCTTGTGGGAACAGTTTACCTTTTTTTCCTTAAAATATTTATGTAACTCATCATCATCATCATAATCATCCTTCCCTATGCTTCGTTCGGTAGGAAGGAAAAAAATTGGATGCAAGGGAGAGAAGAAGGGATGATGAGGCATCCCTTCTCTAGGGATCGTGTCATGTCCTCTTTTTGTTCGGTTGGATGCAAGAGAAGAGAAGCAGTTGATAATTTACTGTGTTCGTTAGGAGAGAAGGGAAGAGAGAGTTTTAAATTCTTTTTACCATTATACCCATCACTATGTATAGTATTGTAATTTAAAGCTTTTATAATAGCCCCACTTGTCTTCCCTCCTCTCTTCCCTCCATATTTGGAGGGATGAAAATTTGTGAAGAGGAAGGATGATTCATTCATCCTATTATCCTTTCTCTCCTTGGCTCCTCCCTACTGAACGAAGGAAGATTTTTCCTTCCTTCCTATCCTCCCTCCACCCCTCTTCCTTCCTTCCTACTGAACAAAGCATTAATCTCGAACAAATGGGGTTAGCCACATGAATTCTCTTTTTTCATTCTATTATATTAAATCCCATGTCTCTTCTAATATTTAATATTTAAATGTCATTCTTTTTATCCCAAGTAAGTTTTCACTGGCCTCACTGCGTTTACTTTATATGCGCACGACTTTCCTTTTTTACTGGTGCATGTGCAGTCCTACATTCTTTCTTTCCAAACCACCTAAGCTTACTTTTTCTTTTCTTTTCTTTTTTTCCCGCTAATAGATGCTGCTCCTAATCTGTCTCTCACACTGTGACTAGTAATCCTATCTCTTCTAGTCACCCCTACCAACATTCTCATTTCAGCTACTTGAATATGTTGTTAGCCTAGCTTTCTGCCTCTTGCAAGAGAGCTGGCCTATAACCGTTATATAAAGTTTCCCTTTTAACTTATTGGTATTTTTTTCATCACATAGGATACCATAAGGCTGTCTGCGTTTTGTCTATAGCAGTCTAATCCTGCTAGTAATATTGTCATCCATCTCAGTAAAATATTTATGTAACTATGCTAAGAACATCATCCACCATTCTGATTGGTCCATCTTTGAGTCTTCGAGAATTTTCACTTCTTGGGTATCGGATTATGTCATGTCATTTTGGACTTGAGCATTAAATCATTAATTTTTATAAATTTCAAATATTGCTGATAAAGCTTCACTAGCCATTCTGTTTTAAATGGCAGGTTAGAATTTTGGTAGTAAAAATAATGGTTCTTGATGAAATTCAATGATCCAATTGATTAATTACTATGAGACAGAATGTCCTGAAGTTTTTGGCAATTCCAATTTGCAGAAAAATTATTAAATCTATTCTTGATTATGCATAATATCTGATGTTCTCTTGCATGTGGATTTGTCCTGTGAACAGTAACCTGGTCTGATAAAAACAATGGCCAAGCATTTTGCTTGTTCTTAGGATGTTTGTTAGATACTGTCCTTACCACTTCCAAATTGGTTACTTTGAAAATTCACAGCTCTTGTAATCTTGGCATCACTGCAGATTTTTTTATTTTTTATTTTTGTTTCCCAACCCAAAATTTGTTTCCTCTTATCAACAATAGGAGTACTTTGGACTAATAAACCTTGATGTTCGTTGCTCCTTTCCTTTAATATACATATATATAGATATATATATACATAGTTTGGGGAGCTTGGTTTGTTTGCATATAATTATCTTTACTTGAAATATAAATTTTGGAAAATTCTGTGTTAACCTCAAGTCTATTATGCAGGTGACATTACAGATATGGCATGGGCACCTAAGAAAATTCCAATTGGTAAGTAGTTCTCCCTTTCTAGAAGTTAGTAATTATCTATGCATAATATTTGTACTCCTGGTGTTTTGAGCCTTGGAGGCTGTTGAGAAGTTCCCTGAAATCGGCCAGGTCAGGTCCACAAGCCTCATGCCATCTAGTTTCTTCTCAACTTTTCACCTGATTTCTAGGAGAGAAATGAACCACAATATTGCTATCTTTTGTGTACTAAACAGCACAAAGTGATAGCCCGGTCAGTTGTCCTTCCCTTGCTGAAGCAATCAACCCTCGACCACAAAATAAACACCACCCAGCGAACAAGTACTTTCAGTTGTAATATTTGCAGTTCCAGAACAGCTCCAAAACTTGGTTTCCTATTATTTAATACAACACAAAATCCCAGCTCTTGTTGCACCTTTGAAAACCCTAATACTTTTATACTTTTACCAACCTTTAGCTACTAATAAATTGACTTTCCTAAGCCCTTTAGACCCATTGAGTGCAGTCCAGCATCATTCTGGCAGGATCTTTTTTTTTTTTTTTTTTTAAACTGAATCCCTTCACATGGTGTCCGAAATGCTCCTGCACGTCATGACTTACTGTACTATGAACTAGCATAAATTGATCATTGATGTACAGAGTCAGTTGATTTCTTCAAATTTTTAGGAGCAAGTCCGAGAAACACCTCTCACCTGAATTGCATTCTTTTTTTTTTAATTTTTTTTCGCCCCTTTCTTTTTGGGTTACAGACATTTATGACGTTATTATGTATTTTGGCAGGAGAAAAACAAGCTTTGATTTTGGCCACATCAAGTGTTGACAAGAAAGTGAAGTTGTGGGTGGCACCACCACTGTGACCATCACAAGGGAAAACCCATAAGCATGTTGCTCAACTGTTTGCAGGAAGCTAGTGTACTGATAGTGTCATTGAAATGTCTTTGATATGCTTCCAGAAAATTTCAGCCTTTAACATCATCACAGGTTCAACCTTTCAACCACTTCATCTGTAAGAGGCGCATACCGTCTGGATAGAAGTCAAAATACAGAACATTTTTGGTCCTTTAACTTACATAGCTTAATCTCACCAAGAGCTTGAGCCTCTCTCTCTCTCTCTCTCTCTCTTGGTTGATTTAGGTCCTTGAATGCTTCTAGTTTTAATAATTCTGCTTTGCTAACAACTTTCGCATACATAATTATGAAATCGACTATTTTATTTTCCCTACTTTCATAGTTTCATGTGATTGTTGTGCCAATTATATATTTACAATGTTTCTGGTATTACTTCCAATTGTTAGAATGTTGAAGAATTCTCAAATATTTTGACATTTTCTGGCACATCATTTTAATTTTTGTGCGTGTGATAATACAAAATTATGTAATCCAATATGTTGGATTGTTACGATGAAACGTGTGACCATTAAGGAAGAAAGGCAGATTGATTTTTATTTGGGGTGCCTATTGCAAATTTGAGTTGATGTCATTATATGAATCTTAAACAAATTAAATATATGATAAGTAGCTCAGATTTTCATGTGATTTTGGATCGAGTATGTTTCATGATACTTACAAATTTGAACTACCCAAAAAAAATAAAAATGCAGATGAATTAGTTCATAATAGAGTTGTCAAGTTGTAGAAAGAATTAAAAATATATATAAATCAGATTAAAATGAAAGGGAAGACAATATCGGTTGAGGCCATATATTGTAATCTACTCAAAAATATTTCAATGGTTAAAAATTCTTGAATGATTCTGTATCAAATATTCAGGCAGGCATGTGTGTCTATATTGATGCATGATAACCATATCACATCCCAGTTCCGATGAAATAGGATGAATTGAAACGGTTGTAATTATATTGAATATATTAATCATTTTTTTATTTTCCGATCGCTTGGAAGAGACAAAAGAAAGATCTTGTTATTTCTAATCTCTAGTGGACCTTAGTAGGATTCGAACTCAGGTGATGTTCTGACCATCCGTCAGAGAAAAAGAGATCAACTAAAATGTGTCTTCATAAATAGTTACATAATAACAGACCTCATATTTTAGCTTTTTCCATTTTATTTTTTTTAAATGAATAAACTATAGAGATTTAAATTCCAAATAACCTGTAATACTATGCATGTTATGAGACAAATAATTTTTATTGAATTTTTTCATCTTTTTGCAAATAAATATAATAAAAAATAAATACGGAGTAAATTGGAGATGGAAATATTTTGAGAACGTGGGATGGGATTAAACAGAGAACGTAATAATAAAAATAAAAAATAAAAAAACACCGCCCACCGTGGGGCTCGAACCCACGACCACAAGGTTAAGAGCCTTGCGCTCTACCAACTGAGCTAGACGGGCTTGTTGTCATGTTTGGGTTATATAGTCTATCTCTATTTATGATACCCTGCTTCCAACCCTTCACTCACCTTTCCAAAAAAAAAAAAAACGGCGCTTTCTGAATCATCAATCTTGATTCTTTTTTATTTTATTTTTTTTGATAAATTTTATTTGGTTTGATTGTTTATTGGCATGTGAAGGAAATGATCAATATAATGTTTCTTGGGAGATTGATGATCATTCAGGAAAAAAAAAGGAAAAGGAAATGATCAATATAATGTTTAATAAGTGTAGTCAAATAAGAACCAGCAGCCACACCAAATGTTCTCGAAGACACACAAAGCTCGCCTACAGCTGCAACTGATGATGAACAACGTCCACAACATGCTAGAAGAAGACCAAGGTATGTCTTTATATTAGGTTCAGCCGTTCAGGGGCTGTTTCATGGTCATCAAAGAAGCAGCCAATCGTCACTTTATCAACTACTGAAGCTGAATTTGTTGCTGCCATTTCATGTGCCTGTCAACCTATATGGTTGAAGAAAATTCTTGAAGAACTTATTAACCATTTCCTAGAGAATAGGACAATAAACAGATTCAACATATAATACACTACCTGCGAATTTGATTAAATAATACTAATAATAATTAAGTTTGGCATATAAAAGTGACAGCCACAAGAAAAATAATGGACAAATACTAGTCCATACTAAAATTTTCAGTTATGAAGCACGGACACTCCTCCCAGGAGTCCCGCACCAGTGTCGGACACGTGTCCGACACTTCTGTGAAGTGTCCAAAAATTATTTTTTATTGGACACGTGGGGTTACACGTACCGGACACGGCGGAGTATATTTTGTAATTTTTTAAAAGAAAAATAGGGTACCTGATGTAATTTTAGAAGTTTAACTCTTTTGACTCTTTTGTCTGAGATTCTAAATTTCTAATTTTATTAAATTTTATGATTCCATTATGTTTATTTTTTAATTTGATTCATTTATGTCAGTACTGAAATTAAATAAACTTTTAGACCGTAGTAAGAAAAATAAAGAAAAATCAGAACAATTATATTTGTGGATGTGTGTAAAATGTAAACTGTAAAGTTGTTGATAACTTTGCTTTGTTCTTAATTAATTGAAGTATTTCTTTTATTGCATTATTTTTTGGAAAGGTTAGATTTGTGGTATTGTGGATTATATATATATTATTTTATAGGTATATTCCCGCCGTGTCTGTATCTTATTTTTTTGAAATTTATCGTATCGCCCTATCCGTGTCGTGTCGTACCCTTGTCCGTATTTCATAGATTTTCAGATACAAAGTGAAGTCCATATTCCAGACCAAGACATGTACAAGGTACTTGGAATTTTAGCCAACAAATAATTCCAACAGAAACTCTTCAACCTAGATTACGATACATCACAATCATATGTACGAATAATAAAGTTCACAAATTAAATGTACTATTTGGAACTTATTAAGAAGACAACATACTTGTAATGACGTCAACATTTAATACAAAAGTCCCCAAGATTTTTTCTTTCCTGGGAGAGATTCACATATCAAAGCCGTTGCTGGAGAAATATAGCTTGAAATCTTTTTCACCAAACTTGGATTTGGGATCATCTTGACCAGAGAAAAAAGAGACAGGGTTTTTAAGTTTTGCGCCTACTCAGATTTCAAATCTTTGGTAGAAATGTCATAGGACTCTCCATCTTGTTCGCCGTTGCTTCTCATATCCTCCCACAACTAAACAAGTTCAAAAGGAATGGTTATAAGGAACAAAACACAAATTTACATACAAATTATATGAATCACTTGCTTAATATATATATATATATATATATATATATATATATAACTTGCTTAATATTCATCAGACATTTCTGACTGATGTAGCAGTGCCATTTTTAATCAACAGACATTTCTTAAACGTTTCGTGCCACGTTAATTAGAATTCAATCCGACCATGCACAAAATAAGCAACAGTAAAGTTTTCAGGAGTACCTTGTCATATTTCTTCAGATACCGGTATCCCTGTTTAAGTACATAAACGGCACATTAAGACATGACATATAAAACATGTGTAATTTTCTAGAAGAAGATGAGTAGATGATGTTAATTGTGGACTGACCTTGTTGGTTCCATAAATGTAATCACAATAAGTGAATATTGAGGTGAAGTTACTCTGACTTCGTCCGCCAACGTAATGGTGATAGTCATGGTATTCTGCTCCTCCATAAAATGGAATAAATTTTGTGGGAGTCCAAGGGAAGTCATATCTGCATAATAGCAAACACCAATTTCATTCAACTTCATTCCAGTAAGTAACTGAAGAATTCTAGGTAGAACAAATTAGAATTATTAGATATAATATCGCAATAAGGAGAGCCATTACAAGAGCAGTTTGATAGTGAAGAAAATATTCAAAAGCTGATTTTAACAGGCCGGTGGCCTAGCGATATCAGGCATTTACTTTTCAAAGGGAGGTAAGGGGTTTGAACCTCGGTGGAGACATGAGTGTGTGAGTATCACCTAGGAAAAATAAAAAAATAGTCACAAAGACTTAACCTCAAAGAAAAAGAAAATAGTGAATTTCACTATATAATAGGGCAAAGTGCAAGAAACCCCCTTGTTATTGTTGGGGAAACGGAAGTTTTTAAAACTTTATGGGGGTTTTTCAAATAAAGATCTTAATTCATGTGTAGAGACAAGTTTTATGCATGAGAAATATGATGATCCATTCAATTTAGGGATAGAAAACTTACATCAAGGCTTGAGTAAGCCTTAGATCTCTCCTCTAAAGTGAATATTCTCACTTATTGTAAATCTCTTTGCTAGATACTTTCTCATTGAATCTCCATTTTCTTGGTAATGGTCTCTTTTAGAATCACCCATAAGCCTCCATGAATAACCTTAGAAAACTAGGCTTGTGGGAGCCTCCATTAGATGAGAACACTAGCCCTAAAATTCTAGAGAGAGAAAATATATTCCTTTTTCTTCCAAAAGTTACCATAAAATATACATGGACCATGTATATATAGGCAACATAAAGATAAGAAAAGGAAACAATAAATCCTTCTCAATCTCTAATTCAGATATCTCAAATCTAATGGGATTCCAATATCAAGTTGGGCTATGAGTGAAAATCTTTTGCGCTTATTATTTTCTTAGCTATAATGAATTAATAATTGGCCCGATTCACCCAATTCAATTAATTTATAAATTAATTTCTACTCCACTAAAATAAATTAATTGAACTCCAATTAAATAATAAATAACCTCTAAGTTAATGTTGCACTTTGACCCCTATATGCATAATTAGTTATCGGATAAATAAAGGCATCAATCCAACTATTTAAATAATTGGTACCTTTGATTATTTCCGCTTCGATCACAATAAAACATTTGTTTGACAAAAATAATAATTTAAATAAATAAATATATAATAAATCATTTTGTTTAAAAACACACGAAGCCTTCGAATTTACTTTATGATCAACCATAATCAATACAAAATAAATACAAGTAGTAATGATGCAAATATTAAAAATATAACCCTCTAACTATTAATTACATAATTACCCAAAGTGCCGGTCTTAGGATTCCGAAAATTCCGCCGAACAAATCAAAGTAATTACTAATTAATAAAAGAGTTTATACTTCTCTCATACTTAAGAGTCAAATGTCATGACGGTGATAGGGAGCAATTGCATACGACGGCTCTCGCAATATATCTCAATCTAACGTGAATCCAGTTCAAGTCTTAGTTAATAATGAGTCCATCCATAATTACCAACTATGAACTATTTATGATTACTATTTATATTCATGTATTGATCGCCATCACATACATATATATATATATATATATATCTCGTGTAATCAAGTGGACACTATCAATTCTATAATGAATCGAAACATAATGCATTGAATTCATCAATTGTATAAAACATATATATTTCAGAATCTTAGGAACATATGTCACTTTAATCCAATTAGGAATTCGCTATGCCAGGGCATATAAATCCCAACAGTCATAACCTTTAACATTTGAAAAATGTGACCTCCACTATCAATTTTGACCAATTTTTTTAATAAAAATCCCAAAATATCCTCTTTCCCAAAAGTTTTTTTTGGTCTTAATGGCATTTTAAGTATTTTAGTAATCAAATTGAGAAAATTTCCTTATTTGCTCAATTAGAACAATGCAATAGGGTTTTTTTTTTTTTTTTTTTTTTTTTTTTTTTAACATCAAGGGAGTTTTTGCACAATTTGTATATATAACAGAGTTAAACTAACAAGCCTGCATTTATGAATATCTAATTAACCTCATCTTCCAATACCCCTCTATAAAGAGTGCATATCTAAATCTTTATTAAATGCGGAAAAATATCATTGAAAACCAAATGTCATGAATCATTGCTAATCCAATTAATTCCCTGTGACATTATGCATAAAACATATATAATCTTTCTGCAACAATTCACATCAAACTATGAAATTTAACAAAGAAAAATTAACAAGAAATGGTTTAGACGAAAAAGTGTAGGAATATTATGCATACCCACTATGAGTCTTGATTGCCTCTAGCTGCCGAAGAACCATCCAAAGCCATAATGTAATCATATGGCTGGGGACCATCAATGAACTAAGAAAAGATGCAAAACCAAATATTAAGACCTCTGCCCAATGGGCATAGGGTGCTGCAAATCCAATTGGCGCAGTGTATTCGTGGTGGACTCTGTGTATATTCTCGAAACCCCATTGACAATGTAGCAACCTATGCAGCCAATAATTTGCATAGTCCTCGACAACAGCATACACCAACAATTGCTAAAACATCTCCTTCTTGGATGTGATGTAGTGCAAACATGGCAGCCATGTCAACAAATTATGGAGGCTGGGGTGGCGGTGGTTCAACGAGAAGACCAACGGTTATCTTGGAAGTGGCTTGGAATAGAAGATTTATTTCCCAACTACTTATGTTTATATTTCTTAGTATTTTGTGTTTACTAAGTTGTGCTTAATTTATTAGTCAACCTTGAGTTTTGTGTTGAAAGTTGGAAGTTGAAGCCTCTTTAATTTAATGTTGAAGATGAAGACTTGTATTTATAAGTGTTGATGTAAAGAAGAAAGCAGACTTTGAATATTATGTTCTGATAATGATATTATATAGCATTTACTCTTGTTCATCCACTCATTCTCTTGGTTGTGACTTCTTGTTTTATAATTCTTCTTCTTCCTTCTCATCCAACCCATCATTTGGTATCAGAGCTTACGTTACACTCTCGGGCTGACTTTTATTGTTCTTGCTTCATGGCGGCTAGAAGAGGTAGAAGAAGAAATGGCAACCGTATGATGGGAGATTTGAAGGATGAAAGAGATGATGAACTTCAAGCACTTCGAAGACAAGTTGAGCAACTTACCTTGCGACTGGAACGCCAAGAAGCTCATCGTGAGCATGGTAGATCAAGTCGTGGGTCTTCTTATGACGAGTATGATAAAAACCTTTTTCCCAATTGTGCGGGGCCATGGTTGGGAAGGTTCTATCGTGATTCTGAATATGTGAAGATTGATTTACCGGAGTTCTATGGACGTCTTCAGCCCGAAGAGTTTCTTAATTGGCTTAGTGCCATTGAGAAATTCTTTGATTACAAAGAAACAACCGAGAATCAAAAAGTGAGCTTGTGGCAACAAGGCTTCAAGGTTATGCTTCGGCATAGTGGGACAAAGTTCAAGAGATGAGGCTTCGCAAGGGAAAGCCTAAAATTACTTCTTGGGAGAAAATGAAGTCTAGGCTTCAAGAGAAATTTCTACCTTTGGATATTGCGCAAAGTTGTTTTTCTCAATTTAACAACTTTCGCCAAGATTCAAAGAGTGTGTTAGATTACACTGAAGAATTTTACAAACTCATGGCCCGGAATGACATTCAAGAAACTAAAGAACAACTTGTTTCAAGATATATTGGTGGGTTGAAAATTCCAATTCACAATGAAGTAGAAATCTATCGAGTATGGAGGGTCAATGATGCTTACCAATTAGCCTTGAAAGTTGAGGCTAAACTTGCTTGTGGTGGTGCTAAAAAGTTTGTGGATGTTTATAGTTTTTATCCTCCTTCAAAAGGTGAATCTTCTCATAGTGAAGAAACTAATTTCAAGTTTGAAAATGTGACTAAAAATTCTGCAAAATCAGTCCCTACTAAACATAGAGGAGCTCAATTTAGTCGCAACAATCCAATTTCTTGTTTCAAATGTGGCCAAGTTGGGTATCATTCCAATAAGTGTCCAAAAAGGTAGTTTGATACGCGTGTAGCATTTGATAATAAAAACAATGATGATTCAAATCAGCCCATATATGACGAGGAATGTGAATTGGAACGTGAAGAAATTGAATCTAAAAAAGGTGAAAGCTTGGTGATCCAAAGAGCACTTACCACTCCTAGATTTGAATCCAATGAAGATTGGCTTCGGTTTAATATCTTCAAAACTCGTTTCAAATCTCAAATCAAAGTGTGCACAATTGTTATTGATTGTGGGAGTTGTGAAAACATCGTCTCACAAGAAATAGTGAACAAGCTCAAACTCCAAACCGAGCCTCATCCAAAGCCTTATCGAATTGCATGGTTCAAGAAAGGAAATGAAGTAAAAGTCTTTAAAAGGTGTCTTATATCATTTTCTATGGGCAAAAATTATAATGATCAAGTATGGTGTGATGTTGTTCCTATGGATGTGTGTCACATACTTCTA